TCTCTCTCTGGTCTCTCTCTGCTCTCCCTTTGGTCTTTCTCTGGTCTGTCTCTCTGGTCCCTCTGGTCTCTCTCTAGTCTCTCTCTGGTCTCTCTCTGCTCTCCCTTTGGTCTCTCTCTGGTCCCTCTGGTCTCTCTCTAGTCTCTGGTCTCTCTCTGGTCTCTCTCTCTGGTCCCTCTGGTCTCTCTCTGGTCTCTCTCTCTGGTCTCTCTCTCTGGTCTCTCTCTGGTCTCTCTCTCTGGTCTCTCTCTCTGGTCTCTCTCTGGTCCCTCTGGTCTCTCTCTGGTCTCTCTCTCTGGTCTCTCTCTGGTCTCTCTCTGGTCCCTCTGGTCTCTCTCTGGTCTCTCTCTCTGGTCTCTCTCTGCTCTCTCTCTGGTCTCTCTCTGGTCTCTCTCTGGTCTCTCTCTGGTCCCTCTGGTCTCTCTCTGGTCTCTCTCTCTGGTCTCTCTCTTCTCAGTGTTGTCTTACGGCAGAGGGGGCTTCTCTCTCGTCTCTTTCCTCCTGAAGGGCCTCCTCCAGACACACAGCTGTTATTTGCAAGCACTAGTTCACATTTTCTAGAGTAAAACACAGTAGAGAGAGTGATGTCACCTCTCATCTGGTCCTTCCTGGTCGTCGCTGTCCAGACTCAGTCCAGAAAACTGCAGGAAAACCAGATATTGATGATAACAACTGAAGGTTCAGAGCTGCACCTTTCTCTCAAACTGATTATTTCTTCTGTAGCTGTGATAAAAGTGACGCAACGTGTAATTCCCACACGCTGTTGTTTTACGTGCCTCGCTCTGAACCACATGAACCCGTAGATCCGGTCCACATTCCAACTAACGGCACCACAGTTCACATTTTAATCCTTCATTTCCTCTTATGTAGTTTATGTGAAGCTTTAAAAGTCCCACATTCCAAAGAAATCATGTCAAATCTGTTTCTTTCAGCGAAACCCAGAGCTGTCGTCTGAATGTTGTTTCAAATACATTTTAGTGAAGCTCTAAATCCCTTCAGTCCCGGAGGCGTTTACAGAGTTGTCGACTCTCCAACACAGATTAGAAAACTCTCTGGACTAGAAGCCACGACTTTCACAATCCAACACGTACCGTAGAAGAGCCGTCCTCGTCTCTGGAGCTTCTCTTTCGCCTGAGACCAAAAATCATAGTTCATTTAATTATGACTTGAGTCCATAAAAAGTCAAAAACAGTGGTCTCTTTCACTGGTTTTATGTGTGTGCAATTTATTTACCTTTATCTAAAGTGGTCTCTCTAGTCTTTCTCTCTGGACTCTTTCTCTGGTCTCTATGGTCCCTCTCTAGTCTCTCTCTAGTCTCTCTCTCTGCTCACTCTCTATCTTTCTAGTCTCTCTCTGGTCTCTCGCTGGTCTCTCTAGTCTCTCTTTAGTCTCTATCTAGTCTCTCTCTGGTCTCCCTCTGCTCTCTCTCTGGCTTCTCTCTCTCTGGTCCCTCTCTAGTCTCTCTCTAGTCTCTCTCTAGTCTCTCTCTGGTCTCTCTAGTCTCTCTCTGGTCTCTCTGGTCTCTCTCTGGTCTCCCTCTGCTCTCTGTCTGGTCTCCCTCTACTCTCTCTCTCTGGTCTCTCTCTGGTCTCTTCTCTGGTCTCCCTCTGCTCTCTCTGGTCTCTTCTCTGGTCTCCCTCTGCTCTCTCTCTCTGGTCTCTTCTCTGGTCTCTCTCTGGTCTCTTCTCTGGTCTCCCTCTGCTCTCTCTCTCTGGTCTCTCCCTCTGGTCTCTCTCTGGTCTCCCTCTCTGGTCTCCCTCTGCTCTCTTTCTCTGGTCTCTCTCTGCTCTCTCTCTCTGGTCTCTCTCTGGTCTCTCTTTCTGGTCTCTCTCTGCTCTCTCTCTCTGGTCTCTCTCTGCTCTCTCTCTCTCTGCTCTCTCTCTCTGGTCTCTCTCTGCTCTCTCTCTCTGGTCTCCCTCTGCTCTCTTTCTCTGGTCTCTCTCTCTGCTCTCTCTCTCTGGTCTCTCTCTCTGGTCTCTCTCTCTGGTCTCTCTCTGCTCTCTCTCTCTGGTCTCCCTCTCTGGTCTCTCTCTGCTCTCTCTCTCTGCTCTCTCTCTCTGGTCTCTCTCTCTGGTCTCCCTCTCTGGTCTCCCTCTGCTCTCTCTCTCTGGTCTCCCTCTCTGGTCTCTCTCTGCTCTCTCTCTCTGGTCTCTCTCTCTGCTCTCTCTCTCGTCTCTCTCTGCTCTCTCTCTCTGGTGTCTCTGGTCTCTCTCTCTGCTCTCTCTCTGCTCTCTCTCTGTCTCTGGTCTCTCTCTGCTCTCTCTCTGGTCTCTCTCTGCTCTCTCTCTCTGGTCTCTCTCACCTCAGTCGTCGTGAGTTCAGGTGGTTATAAAAGTGTCTAAAGTGTGACAGCCTTAAAACAAACTGCTGCTTCACAGATTTCACTAATGGCAGGTTATTTTAGAACACATCACCCCAGTCCTAAACCACAGTAGGGTTTCTCTCCTCAGTGATGTCTTACGGGAGAGGGGGCCGCTCCGCTGAGTCTCTCCTCCTGTAGGGCCTCCTGCAGACACAAACAAGCTTCAGACCTGCTTTTGTCGCAGTATTTGTTTTGTGAATACTTGTCGACGTACTGTTGCGGTGTCTTTGCAAAGTTGGTGTCAAAATCTTTGGACTTGAGAGAAACCCTGCAGAAACAGAAACGGGTCAAGTCGCAGACCAAAACTTTCTGTTAGAGCTGCATGAAATGAGCAGAGGAGGTGTTTGGAAACATGAAAAACATAATATTATTTCTGATCATTAAAATCAGATATTTGGCCTTTTGTCAGACTGTTGTGCCCTTTAGTGTGAACAAACCCAAAGGAATTAAATTTGCATTAAACTTACTAAAAAAGAAAAACTAAATCAAGTCTGAAGAAGCAGAGTTTTTAAAAAGCTTAAAAAGTCCTGAGAGGTTCAAGGGTCCACAGTAAAGGTCCACAGTAAAGGGTCCAGTAAAGGGACCACGGTAAAGGGTCCACAGTAAAGGGTCCACAGTAAAGGTCCACGGTAAAGGGTCCATAGTAAAGGGTCCACAGTAAAGGTCCACACTAAAGGTCCACAGTAAAGGGTCCACAGTAAAGGGTCCACAGTAAAGGTCCACACTAAAGGTCCACACTAAAGGGTCCACAGTAAAGGGTCCACAGTAAAGGTCCACACTAAAGGTCCACAGTAAAGGGTCCACAGTAAAGGTCCACATTAAAGGGTCCACAGTAAAGGTCCACAGTAAAGGGTCCAGTAAAGGGACCACGGTAAAGGGTCAACAGTAAAGGGTCCACAGTAAAGGTCCACACTAAAGGTCCACAGTAAAGGTCCACAGTAAAGGGTCCACAGTAAAGGGTCCACAGTAAAGGGTCCACAGTAAAGGGACCACAGTAAAGGGTCCACAGTAAAGGGTCCACAGTAAAGGGTCCACAGTAAAGGGTCCACAGTAAAGGGTCCACAGTAAAGGGTCAACAGTAAAGGGTCCACAGTAAAGGGTCCACACTAAAGGTCCACTGTAAAGGTCCACACTAAAGGTCCACAGTAAAGGGTCCACAGTAAAGGGTCCACAGTAAAGGGACCACAGTAAAGGGTCCACAGTAAAGGGTCCACAGTAAAGGGTCCACAGTAAAGGGACCACAGTAAGGGTCAACAGTAAAGGGTCCACAGTAAAGGGTCCACAGTAAAGGGTCCACAGTAAGGGTCCACAGTAAAAGGTCCACAGTAAAGGGACCACAGTAAAGGGACCACAGTAAAGGGACCACAGTAAAGTGAGATGTTAAAGAGCCAGATGAGCCTCTGATTGGACCATTCTCCTGTGACTCAGCAGTTTTCAGACTTCAGAGAGTTGGAACAGAAAGAACAGCAGCACTGGTTCTTCCTCAGACTGAATATGTATAAATGTGTCTGTGCCGCTCTCACCGCAGAGGAGGGGAGAGGGCGGAGCCTTCCTCTTCATCTGTTTCCATCTTCAGATCTATAAAAACATAAGCAGCGAATTTATTAAAATGGTACGAAATGATTCAAATGTGACGAATTAGAAACAGGAATGTAAACATGAAGAGGGTTAGTTATTGCACACATCTAGTTATTGCACATACTGTATCTAGTTTATTTCACATATCTAGTTATTGCACATATAGTTATTGCACACATCTTGTTATTGCACACATCTAGTTCTTGCATTTGTCTAGTTATTGCACACATCTTGTTATTACACACCTTGTTATTGCACATACTGTATCTAGTTATTGCACATATATAGTTATTGCACACATCTAGTTATTGCACATATATATTTATTGCATTTGTCTAGTTTTTGCACACATCTAGTTATTGCACATATATAGTTATTGCACACATCTAGTTATTGCACACCTTGTTATTGCACACATCTAGTTATTGCATTTGTCTAGTTATTGCACACATCTTGTTATTACACACCTTGTTATTGCACATACTGTATTTAGTTATTGCACATATCTAGTTATTGCACATATATAGTTATTGCACACATCTAGCTATTGCACACATCTAGTTATTGCACATATATAGTTATTGCATTTGTCTAGTTTTTGCACACATCTAGTTATTGCACATATATAGTTATTGCATTTGTCTAGTTATTGCACACATCTAGTTATTGCACACATCTAGTTATTGCACATATATAGTTATTGCATTTGTCTAGTTTTTGCACACATCTAGTTATTGCACATATATAGTTATTGCACATATCTAGTTATTGCACATATCTTGTTATTGCACACATCTAGTTATTGCACACATCTAGTTATTGCACATATATAGTTATTGCGAGTAAGCTCCCAGAACATTAAGACGCACCTTTTCTCTTTGGCTTTTAAAACCAAGTAGAAAAAGACAAGTTTTTGGTTTTTAGCTGTATATATATATATATGTATTTGTTTTTATAATGTGTTTTTATTGTGCCGTTGTGAGCCTAGGCTGTTTTAAATGTGCTCGACAAATACAGATTTGATTGATTGATTGATCGACATCACTTTTTTTCAAATACCCAAGACTAGGGTCAAAGCAGAGATCATGGAGGAACAGAAAGCTCAGGTGGAAAAGACCAGAGGAAACATGAACGTCAACAGATAATTATGGATTTAAATATTACACTTTTCTCTACTGTATCCACCGCGATACTGAACAGAATCTATGTTTCCCCCACCACTTAAAGGAGCCGTCTCTCTGCTACATTAGAACATAAACATCTGAGGCTTATATTCAGGTGAGGCCTATATGTGGACAACATTGATTTTACTCATGTACCGGTGAGTCTTATAGTCCAGAACGTACGGAAAACTAGCTTGAGCCAATGATCTAACATGGGCATTTCTTCTGCAGCATTAGCTTTGACTTTTAGCAGCGGCAGACATGTTGCTAAGACGGTTTCTAAGGAAAGCTAGAGTTTCCCCAGTGAATATAGGCATAGCTCAATCCTTATAATAATAATCTGGATTTACAAAGACAGTATCACAACATAAACTCCAGGACCACAGAGAGCACTAAACCGCAGACTTTTAAGCCCGAAATGGTGAGTGTGACAGACAGAGCCAGAGCAACTTGGAGCAAAACTTCGTCCATGAGCACTTACCTAGTTAGGCCTGATTGAGCTGCAGCGTTGGCATCGTCCATCTACAGTCTGTGATCCCAACTCGATCCGCACGGCCTTGGATGTGACCTCATTTCCTCCACATTAAAGGGGTCTTGTGCAGGTGCAGATTAATTCTAACTTTTTTCTAATCTCAACTCCTCAAATATGAAATTAGTGGTAAAAATAAAATCTAACCTGAGCCGAGCGGCGTCTGTCCTCGAGGAACACACTTATTGCACTGAGGACGAGACTAGGACTTGTTTCCAGTTTTTGCGGTTTGTGTTGGCCCCAGTTCAAGAGGGCGGAGCAAGGAACATATTTCTATCTTTGTCAAAGAGACCAGAGAGAGAGACCAGAGAGAAGACCAGAGAGAGAGACCAGAAAGAGACCAGAAAGAGACCAGAGAGAGAGACCAGAAAGAGACCAGAAAGAGACCAGAGAGAAGACCAGAGAGAAGACCAGAGAGAGACCAGAGAGAGACCAGAGAGAGAAACCAGAGAGAGAGAGCAGAGAGAGAGAGCAGAGGGAGAGACCAGAGAGAGACCAGAGAGAGAGAGAGAGCAGAGAGAGAGCAGAGAGAGAGAGCAGAGAGAGAGAGCAGAGAGAGAGAGCAGAGAGAGAGAGCAGAGAGAGAGAGCAGAGAGAGAGAGAGCAGAGAGAGAGAGCAGAGAGAGAGAGCAGAGAGAGAGAGCAGAGAGAGAGACCAGAGAGAGAGACCAGAGAGAGAGAGAGACCACAGAGAGACCAGAGAGAGACCAGAGAGAGAGAGACCACAGAGAGACCACAGAGAGACCACAGAGAGACCACAGAGAGAGACCAGAGAGAGAGACCAGAGAGAGAGACCAGAGAGAGAGACCAGAGAGAGAGAGAGACCACAGAGAGACCACAGAGAGACCAGAGAGAGACCAGAGAGAGAGAGACCACAGAGAGACCACAGAGAGACCACAGAGAGAGACCAGAGAGAGAGACCACAGAGAGACCAGAGAGAGACCAGAGAGAGAGACCACAGAGAGAGACCAGAGAGAGACTGTGTTTATCTTTGCATCAAACTAAATAATTGACTTTGTAAATACATTTTAATATTAGAGAGAGAGACCAGAGAGAGAGACCAGAGAGAGAGACCAGAGAGAGAGACCAGAGAGAGAGACCAGAGAGAGAGACCAGAGAGAGAGACCACAGAGAGAGACTGTGTTTATCTTTGCATCAAACTAAATAACTTTGTAAATACATTTTAATATTGGACATTTTTCCAGTCAGATCCTGATTCAGTTTTGTTTCACCTTTGTCCTGAAGCCAAGAGTCAAACCCACTGTCAATCATGTGTGTGACAGCTACACAACAGCTACACATGGGTTTATGATCCTTACACACACACACAGACACACACACACACACACACACACACACGCACAGAACTGTTTGAAATGCCGTCCGGAGCTTTCTCTTCCTTGTATCTGTAAACATTCTTTTAGTAGAAACATAATTATCACTAAGACTATTTCTAAAGGTAGTAATTTTAAGGCGGCCTCTTCAGACGACAGGAAGTGTTTGTTTAACGAACCTCATCCATAAATCAATGCTTCACACAGACTGAAGAACACGTCTCAACTGTCTGTGTCTGTGCAGAGCCCAATAAACAGCATTCCAAACTACAAAATTCCAAATCCAGAAATCTAACATAAGGAGAGGAAAACGAGGCTCGGATCGGATCGGATCGGATTGGATCAGAGGCTCCAGTCTCAAAACAAACTGATGCAATTCAATTTTTCAAATTAAAATTATTTTCTCAAACATGTTTTATATCATGTCTTACGGCTCATCACAGAAGAAAACGCTTCATTGAGTTGAATGTCATTTCAAAACATTCCACCATCATTATAAACCAATAAATTATAATTATATATTATTATAAACCAATCATTGGCAACGCAATGTGTGGTTGTAGTTCAAGTTTGTCAAGATTACTACTAAATTAGTTCAGTTTAATATAAATACGTAGCTAGCTGTGCTCTTACTCACCTAGCCACGCTATAGTGTGGCCACACATGGATCTATGTGTGACTCTGATCTGAAATATCAAAGCAAAGGAAGGTTTCTCACCCATCATCTGTACTTAGCAAGTTTTCCCGACGTTTCGTCCTCAATCCAAAGGACTTCTTCAGGGAATGAATTCTCAGACCGCGCGTTGGAGATTTATAACCTCTGGGTGTGGTTAGCCACACCCTAATCCTGATACTAACTCATAAACAATCTAAGGTCTGATGTAGAAGGGAGCAGGTCTAACGACCCTGCTGAGGCTAACGACCCTAACTCCTTAGCATGTCACAGACCTATTGTCTGCTGGGATGCTCAAGTGGAGTGCAGGTCTCACCCCTCCTAACTCATTAGCATGTCACAGACCTATTGTCTGCTGGGATGCTCAAGTGGAGTGCAGGTCTCACCCCTCCTAACTCATTAGCATGTCACTGACCTTGTCCCAAGTTAGGGCGTTGTTTTTAGGATGTTGTCATAGATGCGAGGCAAAACAAATCTTAACCCTCCTCCTCTGTTAAGAGAAGGTTTTTGTTTCCTCACAAAAATGGCTTCTTTCACCCCTCTCTCAAACCAATTCTTCTCCCGAGCCAGAATTTTAACCTCTGTGTCATCCACCGTGTGGTTGGAGGCCTTGAGGTGGAGATGAACAGCCGACTGTGGCCCACTAGAGTTTTCTCTACGATGTTGGTAAAGTCGTTTCCATAGGTTATAAATCTCCAACACGCGGTCCGAGAATTCATTCCCTGAAGAAGTCCTTTGGATTGAGGACGAAACGTTGGGAAAACTTGCTAAGAAGTACAGATGATGGTGAGAAACCTTCCTTTGCTTTGACTAAACCTTGTACGACTGAGCGCTTACACAAACTTAACATAAATATCATTCTTAACACCTGTGCACAGAGGTTTTCATCACAAAAATACTGTTTTAATGCGATTGCGGTAAACCCAGAAGTAACAATTAACATGAATAATTTTAGGACACATTTGCATAGGGCTGGGCGTTATAAGCGGTTTGCGATAACAATTTGGCCAACAATAGAGATTTTTGTTATACCGGCATTTTGCGATAGGTCCTTATGTCATAACATTGTTGCTTGGCCTGCTGGGACCAGCAACTACCACGAGGAGTGTGGCTGCTGGATTCGTCCCGAAAACCGGATTCGTCCAGAAGTTCAGTTTGTGTTCATCGAGACTATGTATGTATTACAATTGTTTATTGCAACAATGGAATGGCGCCCTCTCTACGTCACAAACTAAACGTCAAGGAAATGATAAAAGTATCAAATAAATAAACATTATCCATCTCTAAAATTGA